TCTCTCTCTCTGTGTCCCCTTTTTTTTCTCTTTTTCGTTTCTGTTCCGTACTGGACTCAACGTGACCAGATTCGGCATAAGACAGAAAGTTGTCGGTAAGTCCGTGCTCGATTAGGGTAAACTCGAATAAGATGGCCATACTTTTCTAAAATAAAAAACACATTTTTTATTGTTATTTTTTAATAGCGTTTGGCACATTATTTCACTAAAGCCTATAGTACATAATACTATCAGAATTGAAGGGAAAATATTTCATTGAAATTATTTATTACAAAAATATCAAAACATGAGCATTGGCCATCTTATCTGAATTTTTCAGATAAGATGGCTATAACATTAAGGAATAGATAGCATACATATTTTATGTTCAAGATATAATAGCATACATATTTTATGTTCAAGATATAATAGCATACATATTTTATGTTCAAGATATATATCTATATGTTCAAGATATATACCTATTATTTTATGAAATAATGAAAAAAACATAATTTGACACATTTATTTTAGTATAGGATATTTAATATTGTTTGTGAAAAATATGATACACAGAAATAGAAATTTCTATCATAAAACTTAAATTCTAAATACAATTTTTTGATCAAAACATATTGCATATAAGATTTAATCATTGTAATATTGAAAGTAATTTTTGAATCATAACAACTTTCGTTTTATCAATGTTCATAGAATAATAATGGACTATTTTACCCAAAATGTGAATGAAAGACGGCCATAGTATTTATAAACAAATAGAGAAAACGAAAATAAAAACTGCATGTTATATTACAATTTACATACCTTTTTTATGTATTTAACGTTGATTGTGATAGCTTAACTGTAATTTATTCGACGTTATAGCAAGTTTTAGTGGACACATTAGAAATTTTATAGGTAGTCGAAAATAAACATATAGTATAATATTCATAATCTTGTTATTTCGAAAAATGTATGTACATACCCTAAATACCGATAAATATTGATGATCTTTGTGACTGATTACATAAACGCAATGTTTTACAATTGTTAGAGAAATTATAGTCTATATGGCCATCTTTTCCGGTATGGCCATAATACCCAAGTTATCCCGCATGCACTACGAAATATTTTCTCGATTATATGTGGTTGTTTCGTAATTATCCTAGTAGCAGTATTAACTAAGTTCTTATTTTGCATTACGTAGGTAATGATATCGTCTTAGAACAGCCTGTCCCCACATTCTTTTACACGCAGATAAAATATCTTCAGGATTAATTCCTATATTGTGTAGAAAAGCGTATGCGCGGAGAGTAATGCACAAGGAAGAATTGAGGCAACTTATTTGCCTGAAATTAAAATACTAAATTAGTGAGAGGACTATTCTTTTAAGGTTGATTATTTTCTTGGCGTTTGAAAAGCTCGACTATAGAAATACATTAAGTTCAGAACTATAGAAATACATTAAGTTCAGAACTATAGAAATATATTAAGTGCAGAACTATAGAAATACATTAAGTTCAGAAATTTTTAAACACAGTACGTGTCTGAGTCATCTTGTCGTAGCATTATATCGCAGTTACTAATTGACATTATTACGATAGCTTTGCGCCATCATAATGGCGATATTGAATGTGTCCGTAACTAATAGAAATTAATGATCAAATTCTTTCCGACACGTAGCTATCTTTTCGAATATTCGTTGAATGGCATATATTATTTGCAGAAGTTTAGTGTTCATTTCACGAGATTTCCTGGTATTATGAAGTTATTCCGAGTCTGTTACGACAGCCAACACGAGATCTCCGTGCGAATTCAATTTACCATTGCTGGGTGCGCGAAGTAGCCGTGAGACTAATAATCGCGACACCGACGACGCAGCGCGTCTAAAAGCAACGTGATGAAATCATTACGGTTGTATTACTTTACCTGTACCAGCTGACGCGCTTTAAATACGTGGTTAAAAGTGAGACTAACACGCGCATGATTGTAATACATGTCACTTGGTGACACCGGTGTAACACGCTCGTTTCCGTCCACCGAAACTCTTGGCTGCAAAACTTGGCGAATAGCTATATATTACAGATGTCCGCGAATTTAAATTCGCTCCGTGTAAACTGTTTTTATCAGAAGTGAGATAAACATTTACAAGAAGTGAGATAAACAATACAATATAAAATTAAAATTCTTTATCAAACAATATGATAACTTATGATTCGATTATTATATGATTAAAAATGTTTATTAACTAACGATTAAACACAAGCTACAAACGTAATTAGTCAATTGCTATCCAAGAACGATCTATCAGAAAATTTTATTATACGTACATGCGCGGCTTCTAGAAAAGCTGGTTTTTTATTTTTAAGAGAAACAAATTTTCTAAAAGAGAATATAATTTCCATAAAAACTTTATTTATTTTTAAATTATTTATTTATTTTTATTTCCATAAAAACTCTATTTATTTATAAGCTTTAAGAGTTATTCATTTATAAGAGTAATATATATTTTCTTGACGAAAGAGATTATTTTTCTCTTAGAAATAAAAAATAGCTCTTATAGAAGCTCTCTCTCTCTCTCTCTCTCTCTCTCTCTCTCTCTCTCTCTCT